GGTTATTGGGGGAGTGTGAGAGTGAAAGATCAAAAGGCTGTGTCACAGCTGGGGCATGAGACAGACAGACAGACAGACAGACAGACAGACAGACAGACAGACAGACAGGCTGGGGAAGAAACAAGAGAAACAAGAGAGGTGAGAGCGGAGCAAGAGGCAGGAGAGCGAGCTACGCCCAGAGGGCACTTTTGAGGGGTGCACATGCAGCATAGCGACCTGAAAGGAGCCTGGTGACTGGTGATGGCGTCACTGCTTCAGCTGCAGAGGCCGCCGCCGCGGTGGAAGCTAACTGTAGGATTTTGTCAGAGGCCTTTTCTGCATCTAATGAGATGATCGTGTGCTTTTTTTCCCCTTTCCGTTTGTTTATATGGTGAATTACATCGACTGGTTTTCATGTACTGAGCCGTCATCCCTGCATCTCTGGGACGAATGGTTGATGACCATTTTGATGTGTTCTTGGATTCAGTTTGCAATTATTTTATTGAGTATTTTTTTCCATTTGTGTTCATAAGGTAAATTGGGCTTTAATTTTTTTCTTTGTTGAGTTGTTATGTGGTTTGGGTATCAGGATAGCTGTGGCCTCATGGAATTAATTTGACAGTGTTCCTTCCATTTCTATTTTGTGAAATAATTTAAGGAGTATTGACACTAACTCTGCTCAGAAAGTTTGGTAGAATTCTTCACTAAAACCATCTGGTCCTGGGCTTTTTGGGACAGGAGAGTTTTAATGGCTGCTTCTATTTCCTTGGGGATTATAGGTCTACTTAAATTATTTATGTGATCTTTATTTAACTTAAGTTAGTGATAGCTATCTAGAAAACTATCCGTTTCTTTTAGATTTTCAATTCGGTGGAGTACAGATTTCTAAAGTATATCCCCATGACTCTGTTGATTTCCTAAGTGTCTTTTGCTATGACTCCTTGTCATTTCTGAATATTCCCTCTTGGCCTTTTAGTTAGTTTTAGTTAGTTTGGATAAGGGTCTGTCTATCTTGTTGATCTTCTCAAAGAACCAACTCTTCATTTCATTGATTCTTTGTGTTGTTCTCTTTGTTTCTAGTTTATTGATTCTGGCCCACGGTTTGATTCTTTTTTTGCCCTGTATTCCTCTTGAGTGTGTTTACTTCTTTTTGTTGTCAGGTGGCTCTTAACCTTCCTAATGCTGCAACCCTTTAATACATGTTGTGGTGAACCTCCCCCCGCCCAGCATAAAATTATTATCACTGCTACTTCATAACTGTAATTTGCTACTGTTATGAATCATAGTGTAAGTATCTGTGAAAAGGTTGTTGTGACATCAGGTGGAGAATCATTGTTCTGGGGCTCTCAGGCGTGCTGTTAAGTTCCTCACATGAGATCTCTCCAGTTTTTGTGTAGATATTTCGTGCAATCAACTTTCCTCTTAGCAGTGCTTTCATTGTTTTCCATAAGTTTTGGCATTCATTTCCATCAAATTCTAGAAGATCTTCAATTTTTTTCTTAATTTCTGCCTTGGTCCATTTTTTTGTTCAGTAGAGAGTTGTTTATTTTCCAGGAATTTGTGAGATTTTTGTTGTTTCTGTTCTTGTTGACATCCAGCTTTAACCTATGGTGGTCTGAGAGGATCCAGGGAGTTATTTCAATTTCCTTGTATCTGTTGAGATTTATTTGTGTCTGAGTACATTGTCAATTTTGTACAAAAATTCCTTGAGGTATAGAGAAAAAGGTATATTCTTTTGTGTTTGGGTTAAATGTTATGTAAATATCTGTTAGGTCTATTTGAATTATAATGTCTGCTGGCTTCAGTATTTCTGTTTAGTTGTGGTCTAGATGACCTGTCCAGTGGTGAGATTGGGGTACTGAAGTCTCCCACTGTCAGTGTGTGAGGGTCAATATGTGATTTAAGGCATAGTAGTGTTTCTTTTAGAAATTTGAGTGCATTTGTGTTTGGAGCATAGATGTTAAGAACTGGAATGTCATCTTGGTGGATTTTTTTTTCTTTGATGAGTATGTAGTGTCTTTCCCTATCTCTTTTGACTATCTTTGGTTTGACATCTACTTTTTTAGATATTAAAATGACTACACCAGCTTCCTTTCCTAGGTCCAGCTTGGAATATCTTTTTCCAACCTTTTACCTTAAGGTAATGTCTATTCTTAATGTTTAAGTGTGTTTCTTTGATGCAGCAGAAGGATGGATACTGTTTTCCTATCCATTCTATTAGTCTGTGTCTTTTTATTGGAGAATTGAGACCATTTATTGAAGTATATCAGTGACAAATGAATATTGATTTCTGTTATTTTTGTGATGGGTGGGTGGGTGTGTGTATGTGTGTGTCGCACATAAAGGTATGTGCACTTTGGTTTTGCTGGTGTGTGATTATTTATCCCCTGTATGAAGTTAATCGTCTTAGGTTGGAGTTTTCCTTCTAGTACCTTTGTGAGTCTGAATTTGTAGACAGATAATATTTGTTTGTTTGTTCTTATTTTAGATATTTTATTTTATTTTTATGAGCACTGGTGTTTTGCCATGGATGTCAGGTCTCTTGAAACTGGAGTTACAGACAGATGTGAGCTGCCATGTAGGTGCTAGGAATTGAACCCAGATCCTCTGGAAGAGCAATCAGTACTCTTAACCACTGAGCCATTTCTCCAGCCCCATGATAGATAATGTTTAGATTGGAGTTATCATGGAATTACTTATTTTCTCCACCTAGAGTGGTAGAAACTTTTGCTGGTGATAGTAGTCTGGAATGGCATCTGTGGTCTCAGAGTCTGCAGCACGTCTGCCTGGTACTTCTGGCTTTTAGAGTCTCCGTGAGAAGTCAGATGTGATTCTAACAGGCCTGTGTTTGTAACATTGAGAAGTCTGATGTGATTCTAACAGGCCTGCATTTATAAGTTGCTTGCTCTCTTTCATTTGCAGCTTTTGATATTCTTTTTTTCTTCTGTATGGTTAGTGCTTTGATTATTATGTGCTGAGGGGAGTTTCCTTTCAGGTCCAGTCTGTTTGGTATTCTGTAAGCTCCTTGTATCTTTATAGGCATCTCCTTCTTTAGGCTAGGGAAATTTTCTTCTCCTCCATGATTTTGTTGAACACATTTTCTGTGCCTTTGAGATGGGAACTTTCTCCTTCCTTTATCCATATTAATCTTAGGTTTGGTTTTTTCACAGTGTTCTAGATTTCCTTCGTGTTTTGTGTCAGGAGGTTTTTAAATTTAACATTTTCTTTGATGGATATATCCATTTCTTCTACCGTGTCTTCAACACCTGAGATTTTCTCTTCTGTCTTTTATATTCTGTTGATGAAACTTGTGTCTGTAGTTACTGTTGAAATTCTTAAATATTTCAAATTACAGAATTCCCTCAGTTTAAGTTGTTGTCTTTATTGCTTCTATTTCCATTTTCAGATCTTTAACAGTTTTATTTGTTTCCTTCAACTGTTTGTTTGGTTTTCTTCGGCTTTCTTCAAGGAATTTATTCATTTTTTTAAATTGCGTTATCCTTGATTTCGTTAAGGGATTTATTCATTTCTTCTTTAAGGACCTCTATCATCTTCGTTGTAGTTGGGTGTAAGGTCCCTTTTCTTGTATGTCCACTATGTTGGAATATTGGGCCTGCTGTGGTAAGATAGCTGGGCTCTAGTGAAGACACATCGCCTTGGCTCCTGTTGATTGTGTTTTTACGTGGGCATCTTGAAATCTTGGTTTGGGCTTACTATAGGTCTAGGTACTGATTTCTGGAGGTCTTTGCTGGGTGGCTGTTTTGTTCCTTGGTTTCTATTTTCTTCCTGGATTTTCAGGAAGTGTGGTGCCTGTACGGCAAATTGACATATGAGTGCTGCTGTGGTATTTTCTCCTTTTATGTCTTCTCTCCCTGTGCTCTGATGCCATGTGGTCTATGTCGCGCTATCAGACTCTTACTCCACCATGAGAGCAACTACAGATTATGAGCCAGCAAGTGAGAAGCACTGCTTCCAAAAATTTTTATCTGTGATATGGAAATTTATATTTCATGTATTTTCACATATAAATTATTAGTCTTTAAGCCCCCTCCCTTATTTAAAAATGTAAAACCAACTCTTAGTCTAAAGGTCATCAAGAAAGATGAACTATAATCCCCAATACCCAGGTCGCAGAAGGCACATCTGACCTATGGTGGGTATGGTGGCACATATCTGTAATTCCAGAAACTAAGTAGATCCACAAGTTTGAGGCTCAAATCAGGTATAGAACAAGTTCCAGGCCTTTGCCACAAAGTGAAATCTCAATGAGATTTCAGTGTATCTCAATAAGAAAATATCACTATTGTTATTACTTGGGATCACAATAGTGCTTATTGTTTGGCTTCTTTTGAGACATTAGTAGAATATAGAAAGTGCTCATGGTGAATGTGAGAGGCAGTTATTATGAAGATTGTTATCATTTTATGTCATGGTTTAGAAATAATTTTATCATTTTCAATTACCACAATATTTTCTAAGACTCATGAAAGTCTAGAGAACAAAATGAACCAGGATGCCAAAAGTCAGGAATTAATAGATTCAGGAGTTAAAAGTACTGATTCATAAAAAAATTTTTTTAATTAAAAAAAGAACTGATTCATTTGAGATAAAATTGGCTTTTTAAAATAAATAAATAAAACAAAAACGCTAGGCTTTATTAAAGTATAAATAAAAGTAGAAATCAACTTTTAGATAAATATTTTCCAATTTACTTTTGCAACAACTAAATAAATAAGAATATATTTGCATAAATAAGAGACTAGGCAAATCTGAGTTATTTATTCCTCTTCATAATACAACATAACAGATAAATCAACAAAAACGGTGATCTGTAATTGTAAGTCTGGCATGACCTGAAGTCTTTGGAGTTTTGTGAGTAGATAGTTTCATGTGGTGAGTTTCTAAAATAAGACAGCAAATGGATAAAAGGATCAAGACGTGAATAAAAGCATGACAACTGCAAATAAACCAGATTCCTGAGTAATAAATCTTGAATCTCACTGTTTGATCACCCTTATCAGGAAGAAGCCTGAGAAAATAGAAGCACTCCACATCCTGCCCAGAAGGTCAAGGACGCACTTGGCATCATCGGCTTCACATTCCGAAGAGGAAGACCCGCCCCTGAGAATGCAAAGAATGGTGTTTGAGTCTTGATGAAGGCACTGCTGAGGGGCCTGAATTTCCACCGGAGTGACACACTTTGATGTTGTTCGGATATTGGATAGAATCTTTGTTGATGTGGGCCAGTCACCTCACATTCCACCAGGTGAGAAAAAACTCACACAAAGTTGCAAGCAAAATGTGCTACAATTTTTAATCAAGCGCATAAGAGAAATACACAAGGAAAAAATAACAAAAGGCCTTGCCAAGCATAATGGATGTTGTCTCTCTGTAGCAAGATTTAAGTTGACTTATTGACCTGTTTCCTTTGACTTTTTCTTTGTTGTCCACGTTTGCTGCTGAATGTGTCCATTTTAAAATAGAAAGGTTATTTTTAAACAAGACAGTGTCAGGAAGAGGTTGCTGATAATAAAGTGATATTAAGTAAGTAAAATATAAAGTGTTTGAGAATACTTGCCAAACAAATCAATGTCCTATCTCTCAGTGTGTTATATCTTAGCGTGATTACAAAATGCTATCTTAATGTTTTAATCTTTTGCATGGAGCTCAGTTAGGAAGTATTATATGTATTCCATTGGTATTAGTTACTGTTGCACTCCATTAACAAATCAAAACTTGTGAAGAAAGACGCCTATGAAATCGCATGTTCAAAGTGAACACCATGAGAGTAATCCCAAGGTCTGAACTGCAAACCCTGCTGAATTAGACTTGTCACAACTTGTAACTCAATGAATTACTACTATTAAGCTTGCGTGATTGCCACTATTGATGAAACAGCCACCATCTCTTTACACATTTTCTATTTTAGTCACTGATGCCTGTCTGTAGGTCTGCGAGCTCTCCAACAATGCAGAGCATCACCATCGTCTCTGCTTCAGTTTCCAGAGTCTATCACTTTGTCCAGCCAGGGTCAATCCACTGTTCCCTAACTGAATGGAAAATAGAATGATTTTTCTATCTGATCAGACGTGTGTGCCAATTTAGGAATATAAATTTAGAAAGACAACATTCTTCCAACTTGTTGGCTTGGTGTCAATTGACCCTTCTGTGCAGGGTCACCTAAAGGGTTGGTTACTTGTCACCTGACCTGATCAAAAGTTATGTGTTCTTACCATTACAGAGCCAGGTTCTCTGAAAGCCGAGAATTTAGCTTCTGAATTCCAATCCCATGGAATCCTCAAGAATGGGCACCTAGCCGGTGGCTCCCACCTGTAATCCTGGAGCTCGAGCGGCTGAGACAGAAGGCTCACCCATAGTTTAAGCCCAGTTTAGGCTATGTAGCAAGTTCCAGACGGACCTGGACAACTGTGAGAGACCCTGTCTCAAAACAACTGCACTCAGGAAAGCCGGCCCTGTTCCCTGCCTGGGCAGCACAGTGGAGCTGACCCCGTTGGCAGAGGGGTGGGTGAGCCAGCCAAGGTGTTGGAGCATGGGAGACCTGTCCCTATTACTCTTCTGTCACGTGGCAGCATGGGTGGGGAGAGATGCCCTCCCCCCATCCATCAACGTCTGAGGCAAGAAGAGCAGGAGAGCTCGATGGTCTCTGGAGAGTGGTCCCTGCCTCACACCTGGACAACACAGCAGATCTGGCCCTGAAGGTGTAGGGAAGTTCAGACCCTGAAGATATAAGAGTAGGAGAGCTGGCCCTGTGCCTTCTCATGGCTACAAGAGGTGAACTCACCAGGGCAATGAAGGAGAGCTCACCCTGGTGGTGAGGACAAGGGAGAATGGGCAGGCTGACCAACCCTGAAACTACCCAGAGCCAGAACCAGGCTTATGGGTTGGCCCATCCCAGTGTCCACCCCATCTGTGATCTGCTGGAACATGTGAAGGGTCAGGTCCCACGGACCCAAAACTACAGGATCTCCACAACACAGGGCAACGAGCAGGATAACCAAGAAGGAACCTTCCATGTGAACACATCCATCTGCCACATTCCCAGTGCTTCAGGCTGGGGGTATAGTTCAGAAGTAGAGTGATTGCCTAACATGTACAAAAATGTGCAAAGTCCCTGTCTTAGCTAGGTTTTCAATTGCTGTGAAGAAACACCATGACCATAACAACTCTTATAAATGAAAACATTTCTTTGAGGGGCTGGCTTACAGTTTCAGAGGTTCAGTCCATTATTATCATGGTGGAGAGCATGGTGCTGGAGCTGAGAGTCCTACATCTTGACTCAGAGGCAACAGGAAGTTGACTGATTCATTGGGCCATATCCTGAACATAGGAAACCTCAAAGCGTTCCCCCACATGACACACTTCCTCCAACAAAGCCCCACCTCCTAATAGTGCCACTCCCTGTGAGATTATGGGGGCCAAATACATTCAAACTGCCACAGTCCCCCACCAATAAAAGCCTGGCATGTATAATTCCATCAATTAGGAGACTGAAGTGGCAGCTGTCATGAATTCAAGACTAACCTGTGCTACAGGGTGAGTGAGACCCTGTCTCAAGTAATTAAGACAATTGTTTGACGTCTGTGATCAGATGCAGAAACACAATCTGGTCCCTCAAGGTTCCTTCCAACGCTACTGAATTAGACATTTTTCCCTGCGTGTTGGGTCAACAAATATTTGTGACAGTTTGAAGAGTTCTGTGCTAAGATGTTCCTGGACACTTGGTGGCCAAAGGCACACCTGTAGCCCTCGATAAATTTTCATTACATGTGAGTTTGCTTTCTAGTTAGTACACACAAATCCTTTCTCAAATAAACAATACGAAAACAAACAATTCCATTTCCAGACAGTAGTCTGTGTATTTCAAGAAATCCTTGAATCTGCTTAATTTCCTTGTGATTTTTTTAAAGAAATCCTCTTTACAGAATTGCACTTGGAAAATTTTAAATGATAATACCTGTGTACAAAGTTAATTTCCCTCTGTTCTTCCTGGGGGTGGTAGGTAAGGAACCTCAAGCCAGATTTCTGGACAGCAAGCTTGACCTATGTGGACAGTACAGTGTGGCTTGTTGATAGCAGTCAGCAAGTTCTCCGAGTCATGCTAAACGGTTACAACGATTCTACAAAGGAAGCCACAGGCATAGACTGTGAGTTTCTTACCCATGTGAAATGCCCCCTAACCAGAAGGACATCCCGGCTCCTTCTGTTTCTCCACCCCTCAGCGATCCCCTCTTCAGATGTTACCACTGCACTGTCCAGGCTGCCTTACTGTTAGCTGTCCCTGGCATTACTGGAGACAGTCTAATTCCCTCCTGAGACCAGCAGAGCTTATTACCTTTCTGTTGAGGAAACTCCTCCAGTGCGCAAAGCTTCGCAGCAAGGAGCAGAAGCTGTGAGGAAGAGAGGCTTTGCCAGCCTCCTCCCTCTGCCCCCAACCCACACAGGAGACCTGTCATGGCCTCCAGCAGGTGCAAATCAGGGCGCATAATCTCAGCCCAGATTTCCTTACATCCTTTCTTTTGTGTCAAGTTGACACCAGCTGGAGTCATCAGAGAGGAGGGAGCCTCGGCTGAGGAAATGCCTCCATGAGACCAGCTGTCGGACATTCTCTCCTGTCGTTTTGGTTGTGAGCCTAGCCTTTATCAGCTGATCCATCTCTATAGCCCACAAAGCTTTTTCTCAATTAGTGATCGATGGACGAGGGCCCAGCTCATGGCGGGTGGTGCCCTCCTTGGGCTGGTGGTCCTGGATTCTACAAGAAAAGTCAGTAAGCAGCACCCACCATGGTTTCTGCATCAGCTCCTGTTTGATTTCCTGTCCTGACTTCCTTCAGTATATGACTACTATGGAGCAATAGCGATGTGGAAGTTGTGAGCCAAATAAACCTCCTTCTCCCCAACTTTCTCTTTGGTCACGGTGTTTCACGACAGCAGTAGAAACCCCAAGTCAGACAGACTACCATTAACCAGTCTAGGCTTGGACATCAGAAGAGCAAGGTCTATACCCAGAAGACAAAAGTGCCGATTCCACAAATGGGGTTGCATAAAATGCTCACATTCTCTTTTCTCCAAAAAAGAGAAATAGATTCTTAGACATAAGAATGGCCATGGTGTCAAGAAACACGCAACAGATAAAATCCATCAGGAAAAACCAGGGGCAAAACGTGCAGAAGTGTGCACAGAGAGCCAGGTTAGGAAGAATCACGTTCCTAAAGCAGCAGACCAGAAGTCAGAATCAGCTTCGTGATGGAAGGACTTTGAAGACGGCAACCGGGAGAAACCGGAAGGGAAGGAGGGCACGGTTAGTATTGTCTAAAGCACTTCTTAATCTCCTCCCCCATATCATAAACTAAAGATAAGCATCATTTGGTAGCTGGGTAGCTGGGTGTGGTGGCACAATGCCTATCATCTCAGTAGAGGCAAGGGGATCGGGAATAGAAGGCCAGACTTGACTACATGGGGACTTTAAGAATAGCCTTACTGCAGGAGACCATATCTCAAAGCTATAACAACAACACACACATACACACCTCAAATCCTCTACACACACACACACACACACACACACACACTCATATATCCTTTTTAGACAGTTTCAGAGAGCTACAGCCCCTCAGTGCTGGGGTACTCAATGGCTCCTCAGTGTTGGGGTACTCAATGGGCTGCTTTATTTTTGTACGTAATTGAACATTATTCCTTGCAAACCAGTCTTTGAAATGAGTCTCCGTGTGCTGCCTGCTGTTCCAATCAATGCTGCTTTGAAAAAAGCTAGTCCTCTGCTGTAGGAGGTGGGGAAATAAAGCCCATCACAATGCAAATGGAAGTCTCTGTCCTGCACAGTCCTGCAGCCATTCAGTGTCAAATAAACACACAGCACAGAGGCTTATGTTAATTATAAACGGTTTGGCCTATTGCTCAGGCTTATTACTCACAAACTCTTACAACGTAAATTAACCCATAATTCTTATCTATGTTTAGCCACGTGGCTTGGTACCTTTTCTCTGTAAGACATTCTCATCTTGCTTCCTCTGTATCTGCTGGCGACTGCTTTTGTCTCTCTTTTCCTCTTCCCAGAATTCTCCTAGTCTAGTAGCTCTCTCTACCTATATTTCCTGCCTGGCTACTGGCCAATAAGCATTTTATTAAACCAATATGAGTGACAGATCTTTACAGTAAACAAGGACATTATTGTTGTGCCCAAGTCACAAAGATCCCCTGAGACCACCAGGAAGACCCACCAAACTGCAAAAGCAAGGTTTTATTGATTGTTCATCCAACCACGACAGGGACCCCGTCTGGCTAGCTGTTGCAGCAGCCTCCAGAGGAGTGAAGTTCCCTGTCTACTGCTAGGTTTTAAAGACAAAAGTTACAGGATTACATCAGTAGATATGGGATGGTTTTTGATTGGTTGACATATGGGAACAATTAGGAGCAGCCCTTGAGTTTAGTTTACCCCTTTCACTTGTCCCAGTCTAAGAGGAGACAAGATTGGGGCCTTTCCAAATTCAGCATAGGTTAAGGCCACCACTGACTGTGAAAATAGCAACTCTGAGACACCTGCTGACCCAGGAAACTTGGTGTCACTGGAGTTGAGGTTTGTGGTTATTTCTTGGATACATGTGTGTGTCTCTGAAGTCTACAGGGTGAACTCCCGACGGAAGTGACAGGAAGCGATGGAAGCTAGGTTAGGACATGCAGATGCCAGTGGTGATCATTTGTGGAGATGGACTGAAATTGGTCCACATGGATAACCCGTCTACACCATGAAAACCCAGAAACCCAGCTTCAAAACTGGTCAGCAAAGGGGTCAACGTTTCTATCTCCCATCATCATCATCCCTGTGGAAATCCCATCAAGCCCTATCTACGGAGGCTGAACCCTGAATGTAAGACAAGTGCTCACAGGTTTGATTTGCTTTGTCTTATTTTATGGAGATAAGGTCACGAGTAACTCAGACTGGCCTTGAACGCCCTATGTTGTCTTGATCCTCCTGCCTCCACCTCAGAAATGCTAGGACTATAGGCACAGAACTGATATCATGTATCTTGGTTAGGGTTTCTTTTCCTATGATAAAACACCATGACCAAAAGCAACTTGGGGAGGAGAGTGTGTTTATCATCATACACTTCCAAGTAACAGTCCCTCACTGAAGGAACTTGGGACAGGAACTCAAGCAGGGCAGGAACCAAGAGGCAGGAACTGATGCAGAGGCCATGGAGGGGTGCTTCTTTATGACTTTATCCCCAGGGCTTGCTCAGCCTGCTTTTCATACACCCCATGACCACTTGAGGCGGGCCTTCTGTGGGCCTACCCAAATCACTAAATTAGGAAATGTGCTACAGTCTTGCCCACAGGCAAAACTTACAGATGCATTTTCTCAGTTGAGTGATGGGGGAAGTCCTTCTGTATATATGTTGTTGATTGGTTGGTAAATAAAGCACTGTTGGCCAATAGGGAAGCAAGATAGGTGGGACTATGAGTCGAGGAGGATTCTGGGACACGTAGTCAAGAATGGGAGAGTCGCCATGTGATCCTGGGAAGAGAGGACACATGAGGCTGCATCCTTAGTAAGATATGACCTTATAAAATATATATTAATAATTATGGGTTAATAATTAAGTCAGAGCTAGCCATTAAGAAACCATAGCAAACAGCTAACAGCTTCATAATTAATACAGCATCCTGTGTGTTCATTTGGGACTGACGCGGCTCTGGGACCAGGCTGGCAGGAAGAATGCTCGTTACAGTTCAGAGTCCCTCTTACCAAATGACTCTAAATTGTTTCAGTTTGACATAAAACTATCTGGGACAGTGTGATACCTATGTATTGACTCCTGAAAACAGAATAGCCAAAATGTGGATGGAACGCTGAACCATTTAAGCATTTAAGCTCATGCAAACCCCGATGACTTTAGCCAGCAGTAAGAGCTTCATAAAATTTGGCTGGTAAAATGAACGAATGAAAGAACTAATGAATAGTTTCCCTAACTTGTCCCAATACATTAAGGGGTTGTAACCACCTTCTGCAACTCCTGACCACTTCCTAATCAACTATGGTAAAGTCAGTGTAGACCATGTCCCAAAGACAGTGATATCTTCACCTAAGTACCCTCTGTATCACATGTTCGCAACCATTTGAGAAAAGCCTTCAGTAGGATGTATAAGGGACTCATTATCCCTTTTGTATCTCTCTATTAACTGACTTAAGTTTTGTTTGCGTGGTTTTTGAGACAGGTTCTCAC